TTCCTGCCCCTCCTGAGCTCTCAGTCCCTCTGCCTCGCGAAGTCCTCCCCTGGGTTGTCGAGACCCTCAGCCAGGTCCCCACGTCCCAGTGACGGAGAGCAGGGCTCTCTTCCTGCCACGGAGACTCAGGCTGGAGTGTGTCCAAGTCTGAGACTCTGGCTGGTGCTGTTGGCGAGGACCGCCCCCCCGCCGTCACTGTGACAATGAACCTGAGCAAATCACCTTCAGGAGGAAACTCTGGCCCAGGGTTCCAGAGCTTCAGTTCAAGGCTGTCACCTTTGGGCCTTGGTGAGGCTGAACATCATGGTGGCAGCTGGGAGGAGAGAGAGAGAAGGGTGGGATCCCATCTCCTTTCAAGGGTGCGGCCCCAGGGACCTCCCTCTAGGTCCCCACCTCCTGAAGGCCCTGCCGTCTCCCAACAGTGGCCTTTCAGGTGAGTCTTTAGGGGACAGGGGACGGTCAGGATCTGAACTATGACACAGTGTCCAAGCCCCACTGCCCGCACAGACCTAGAGGAAAAGGTAGGCCCCCTTGGGTAGGTGGGGTAGCAGGGGAGGGAGGTGTCACCCGAAGGGCCCCTCTGTGTGCCAAGGGAAAGGGAGGCGTGGGTGTGCCCTGAGCCTGCTGCCAGGACAGCTCTGTGCAGGGCAGGAGCCGACCCTGCACACAGTGTCACGATGCATGTTGTCCCCTCGAGAAAGGGGGGCTGCTGCGGTCGTCACACTTCTGAGATGATGCTAAGAGGGGGGCCACTTGCCCAGGACCCCCAGAGAGAAAGGGATGCTGTCACCGTCACCGAGGTTGCCAGCCACTCTGGTCACAGCCACCCCACTGTCCTGCAAAGCCCAGGACAGTCGTTAGCCACTGCCCCAGCCCCACCTGTGTCCCTGGCTGCCGAGGTGGCAATGCCACTGGGCTCCTCACCACCCCTTCCCTGCAGACACTGGGCCGCCGTGGCCCCTTCTTAGCAGGTTCCACCTCCGCTTGCCCAGTTGCCCACACCCTCCCTCCGGTCACGGTCACAAAGAGCAGCGAAGCCAGTTCTGTCCCCTTCACCTTCACAGCACTAACTGCCCCCTGCCTCTGCCCATGGAGGCCTCTCTGGTATCCTGGGACCACCTGACTCCTGAGCACCGAAGCCCAGCCCTCCTGCTCCTGCTGCCCCTGCAGACCCTTCAGGGCCCCGAGGCCTGGACAGGAGCAAAGGCAGCAGAGCCTGGGCCACAACCAGGCTGCTGCTGTCGGCTCTGCCCCCTCCCAGCCACAGGCACCCACTTCCAGTCAGCCCTCCGCTCCCCGGTCTGCAGGAAAGGCCTCAGATCTTCATCTGACAGCCTCATCTGCTCACCTGGCCAGTTCTCCAGGATGGCCTGCCCCCCCATCCGCACCCACTTCCCTGGCTTCTCTCTCTCATGACCTCGACTCTGCTGTGGCTTAGTCCTGAAGAGCCTAATGACAAACTGAAGTGTCAGGAGCCAGGTGTGGCGGCACAGGCCTGGAATCCCAGCTCACAGGAGGCTGAGGCAGGAGGGTCATCGGTTTGAGGCCAGTCTGGGCCAAAAGCAGACCAAAGGCAAAAGGGCCGGAGTCTTTGTAGCCCGAGAGTGCGGGCGCCTCACTCTTAAGGGGTGGTGGGTTAATGCCCCACATTGCCGAGATTGCGGGGGGTGTACAGTGGGGTGGGGTCTCCAGGAGATCCCGCAGAGGTGTTGGAGTTGCTGCCTGTGTCCACTGCAATCTCTTCCTGGCCTCTGGTCTTCCCCAGAGCACCCTGCCCTTGTCCTGGCAGTGATCTCCATCCCTCCACCGGCCCTGCTCGATCGAGGTCTCTCTCCATCTCTGTCCGTGCCTCTGCTTTCTCTCCCTTCTTGGTCACAGGGTCCCCGTCTCTGACCCAGCTCTGCCCTCACGGTGGCTGCCTCTCCCTCTGCGGTCTCTGTCCCCTATGGCCAGGTGCTGACGCCGAGGAGGGAGGAGAGAGGGGAGGACGGGCCCGGGATGGGTGGAGGAGGTGGTGGGGAGGAGCAGGAGCAGATCTCTCTCTGCTCGGCTCAGCAGGGGCCTGGGCGGCATCCCGGGAGGAGGGGACCCTGGTGACAGCCGGGGCCTGGCTCGGGAGGAGGCTCTGCCGTTGTCCCGGGGTGTCTGCGAGGGCTCCTCAGCCTCCTTCCCACAGGGGCCTGTCTTGTTGCCATGGTGCCCGCAGCCATGGTTGACCTCGGGCCGCGGTGATGGAGGAGCCTGTCTGCATCCCAGCGATTGGGCCGCGGTCTCCGGCTCGGGTGGGGCTAGGGTCTCTGGGCCCAGCGCCCTTTCCCAGAGTTCTGTCTGCTTGAGCACCAAGTCCCTCCCCAGGGCAGGGCCCTCCTGTGGGGTGAAAACAGAGCTCTTTGGGACCTCCGAGGGTCACTTCCGGGCAGAGTCCAGACCTGAGGGGGGTTGGGCTCGGGTGCGATGCCCACCAGGACCCAGAGAAAGGGTGAAAGGGAGAAAGGGTAGCCTGGGCATAGCAGGTGCTTGGGAGAAGGGGCAAAGAGGAACCCAGCTGATTTTACCAAGTGCCAGTTTGTCCTGCCCCACCCGGTCCCCAAGACCTGCTGCAAGACGAAGGGGGAGCAGAGTTCTAGGCCTTCTCACTAGGTTCCCCAGGCTGGCCTCAAACTTGCCACCCTCCTGCCTCGGCCCCGAGTAGCTGAGGTTCTAGGTGGGCACCCCACTCCCGGCTGTCTCGAACTTCTTAGTTTCATCTTTGAACTTCTGTTCTGTAAGTGAACTTCAGTCCTACCATGCATGTGCATGAGCGGAGGAGGGAATTGCAAGAAAGGGAAACGTTTTATATTTTAGCGCCTTTGATGGTTTTCAGCGTCTTCCTGACTTTTTTGGACAAGGGACCCACGTTTCAAGGGACCGGGTTTCATCCAGCTGCGGGCTCCTCAGAGTGTGTAGCTGGTGCTGTGCAGCACAGGAGAGGACAGAAAGAGCAGGGTGAATCTGCGATAACTGTGCGAGCCGCGGAATGGGGGTTCAGGCAGCCAGGGCAGGTCCAGGACACAGAGGGGAGGGTTCCAGCCTCCCCTTCTTCCTTCCTTCCTCTCCCGTCCCCACCCCTCTTCCCTTCCCGCTCCTCCAGCCGCCCACTTGTCCCCAGGCTGTGGCTGCAGCGGGGAGGCTGGTATGGCAGATGGAGCGGGGTCCCCTTGTCCCGGCTCCATAGGGAGCGGAGCTGGGCTGGGAAGAGGAGCAGGGCAGCTCCTCCAGGTCCTGCAGACCCTGTGTGCCTGTGTGCGTGATGGGAGCTGGGGGACCTGAGCTCCTGCCTCCCCCAGAGGCAGCTATCCGCCCGGCGTGCAGTGGGGAGCAGGTGGGAGAGGAAGGTGAGTCAGCGCGCAGCCCGGCTGAGCCTTCGAGGGAGCAAGCACAAGTCTGCAGAAACCGAGGCTTCCTGCATGGAAGCCTCCTCCTGCAGCCTTCTCCCTCTCTCTCTCTCTCTCTCTCTCTCTCTCTGTCTGTCTCTCTCTCTCTCTCTTTCTCTCTCTCGTCACCTGCAGCCCATCCCAGGCCACTGTGTCTCTCCTTTTTCTCACTCACCTCCAGCCACAGAGTCCTGGCTTTAGGAAGTCACCTTGTCTGTGACCGGAGAGACAGGCCATCGTAGGGGGGACTGCCCAGGTGTCCCAGCAAGTGGCACATTGGTGACAGAGATGTTACGGAGGGAGGGACCCTGACAGGACCTGGTGGCTCCTGCTGGCACCCTCTTCAGTGTATCACCCTCCATCCTGTGGCTCGGCCTCTCCCCGAGGGCACAGCTGTGTATCCTGTGAGATGCATCCCACGTCCAGGTGGGCACTGGGTTCCCTCCAGTCACTTCCAGTTGTTGCCCACGAAGCGGGCAGGAGGGGAAGATGAGGCTCTCAGGGATGGAAGAAGATGGAACGGGGGGACGTGGAAGTTGTCACCCTCCATCCCAAGGGAGCCTCTCTACCCTGGGAAGAGGCCTCGGGCTCCCTCCTTAAATTGTTAAAGCGCACAGATGCCCAGTAGTTTACTCCATGACGGCCTCGCTGCCAGGGCTGGTGGGAGGTGGTCATTCACAAGCCTGCCCACGACATTTCACAGTAGGTGAGCCTGGTGGCTGGTTCCCTGCATATCCTATGCTAGCTGGCACCTTGGCATGGAAGATCCCCAGAACTAGGGAGGACATCTTCTGCTTCCCTGTAATCTGAGTATTGTGTACACTGCTGGTGGTGGGACAGAGCAAGACATGAAGGCAGCTGAGACTCTCAAGGGACCCGAAACAGGCCGCCTAGCGTGGCCTCCCTCCTCTCCCGGGCATGGCCTTGGCCACATGACTTCTCTCCAGGAGGTGGAGTCTAATTTCCCACCCTGTGCAAGTGGGTTTGCTCGGTGGCTCGGACGGCCGACGGGACGCTCCGGAAATGACATCACACAAATTCAAGTCTAGGCCTCTGAGACCTCAGCCTCCGCTTTCGTCTTAGGTCACTGCACTGAGATGGCATGAATGAATCCGATGCCTCCCATTGGAGGAGGAGAGGTCCCCAGAGGAGAAGCACAGCCCTAGCTGGCTGCCAGGCTCCTACCGACCTGTGGGTGAGGTCAGCTGGGCTCTTACTTGTGCTGGCCGGGCAGCTTGGTGAAGCAGGAGAAGCTGGACTGGAAGCCTGAGTTTTGGGGGGGCTTGTTACACAGCCCAGGGATGGAAGGAAGGTCCCACAGTGAGGCGAAGGCCGGGCCTGGACTGGCCAAGCCTCCAGCGTCCGCGTCCTACAGCCAGCTCTGTCACACGTGTGTGCGTGAAGGCGTGAGTGTGTAAGTCAGGGAGCCCTTGCCACTTCTCCACAGCTTTGACTCAGGCCCGGGTCCTCTCATGCCCACTCAGGACCCTTCCGCTGACCCTGGGAGGACAACAGCAGGCAACGTGGCCCTCGCAGAGCCAGAGCCTCAGAGGGGACACCACAGACACCCGTATGCACGCCTAGCCCTCCCTCTCAACCAGCTCAGCCCCTCGGACCATGTACTTTATTAAAAATAGATAGTTACAAACTCCATTATCAGTCTGAGCTGGGCCAGGGGGACCCGGAGGACTGCAGCGAGGGAGGGGGACAGGTCCTCAGCCTGCCTCTCGGGGTTCTGCCTCTGCACCCAAACCCGACACCATCCAGGGGTCACGCTTTGGCTTTGAAGGGGCTCCGGGGACAGCCAGCTGGGCAGGGAAAGGGGCTGGGCATGACGGTGGGAGCGGAGAGAGGGGTGACATCCCCTTGTCCTGCAGGTAAAATGGCAGAGGTGGAGCGGGCACCTCCATCTCACTCCATTTGTAGATATTTACAAAAGAAAGTCGTGAGAGCACAAGGCTGTAGTCATGCAAGAGAAACGCGCCCTTCCCCCTCCCTAGCCCCACCCCCTGCCCTCCCGAACCCCGGGATGCCCACCCCCCAGCAGTCCAGCCACCTTCCCCAAGTTCTGAGGGCACAGGGGGCACGTCCTTGAAGGGTCGGTGCAGAAACGGTGGAGGGTGTGGGGCCACAGCCACCGGCAGGTAGGGGCTGGGAGCTTGGGAGTCCCCGGGCCCTTCCCAGGCCTGGGTGCTGCAGTCAGCAGGAAGGGCCTCCAGTCTTGGGTGTCCCCACCTTCCTCCAGGAGGTCCACGGAGCTAGGTCAGCTCTGTCCTGAGGGTGGGAGAGGTCCTGGCTTCCCACCCCGGCAGAGGCGATGAGGGCAGGGCCCCGAGGTCAGATGGCAGACTCCCTGCGGTAGGAGATATTGTCCAGCGGGAGGGTGGCCTGCATGCGCTCCAGATCCAGGTGGCTGCCAAACTCCAGCATCCGGATGATGCCCGCCTCCTCCTTGGAGCCTGCCTCCAGGCCCAGGCCCGCGGCCACAGCGGCCGCAGCCGCCGCTGCCTCCTCCTCCATCTCCTCTTCCTCCTGGCTCATGAGGGCCAGCTCATTCTCATAGCAAAAGGCACTGGGCGGGGGCGGTGGGGCGGGCAGCACGGTGATCTTGCTCTCTTGCAGCTCCCGGGCCGAGCAGCAGGGCGTGCCGGCCACCTCGTAGGTCTTGTGGAAGCGGGAGTAGTCCACCTTGTAGTGGCTCTTCTCCTCGAAGACCACGGGCTCAAAGCGGTGGCCCCACAGGATCTCGCTGGCCAAGTAGGAGCTGCGGGCCTGGGTGGTCATGGCCGTGGCCTCCACCATGCCCTCCAGGATGACCACGATCTCGAAGTCCTCGGACTCCAGCTCCTCCTTGCCCATGCCGTAGAGCGGGCTGTCCTCGTCGATCTCGTGGACTATGATGATGGGCGACACCAGGAAGATTCGGTCCAGGCCGATGTCATAGCCCACATTGAGGTCCCGCTGGTCCAGCGGCAGGTACTCGCCCTCCTGTGTCATGTAAGGCTTAATGAGCTGCGCGCGCACGTGGGCCTCCACGATGTGGCTCTTGCGCAGGTTGCCCACGCGCCACATCAGGCAGAGCTTGCCATCGCGCACCGAGATGACCGCGTGGTGGCTGAACAGCAGAGTCTGCGCGCGTTTCTTGGGCCGCGCCATCTTGGCCATGATGGTGCCGATCATGAAGGAGTCGATGACACAGCCCACGATGGACTGGACCACCACGGCGATGACCGCCAGCGGGCACTCCTCCGTCACGCACCGGAAGCCGTAGCCGATGGTCGTCTGCGTCTCCACGGAGAAGAGGAAGGCGCCCAGGAAGCCGTTCACGTGCATGATGCAGGGTTTGGGGGCCGCTGGGGACGCCCCCCCATTGCCCGCCGGGCCCCCCGCGGCTGGCACCACTGCGCCGGCCTCCAAGTCACCGTGGAAGAATGCAATGCACCAGAAGAGGAGGCCGAAGAAGAGCCAGGAGACGAGGAAGGCCGCGGAGAAGATCATGAGCATGTAGCGCCAGCGCGTGTCCACGCAGGTGGTGAAGATGTCCGCCATGTAGCGCTGGGACTTGTTGCTCAGGTTGGCGAAGTACACGTTGCACTGGCCGTTCTTCTTCACGAAGCGGTTGCGGCGTTTCCGCCGGGGCACGTGGGCCTGCCCGTTCCGGCTGTGTCCGTGCATGTCCTGAGGCCGGCGTGGTCACCTGGGAGACGCGGGGCCTGGGGGAGAAGCCAGACAGGTGACTGTGCTGTGCAGAGAGGGCCAGAAGGCAGAAGTGGAAGCCCAGACCTCCCCTGTCCTGGCAGGTGGCATGAGAGGGCAGTGCGGCTCTGAGGACAGGGCCACGCCTGTGCACGCAGCTGTCCTGGCTCTGTGACTGGCGTCCATCTGGCCAGGAAACTGACCAGGACCCACCTAACCAGGATCTCCTGAGAGTGCCCTTCCAGCTACCTTTGGCCTGGCGTTCCAGAAGCTTCCTGATGCCCATCTTGATGCTGCCCCCATCGCTGGCCCTGAGCTCTGTCCCCACTCTCCTCCCTGGGTTTAGCCTCTGCACTCTGGGGTGTCTCAGAGGCTAGACGTCCTCTTGTGCCGTCCCATGCAGTAGCCACTAGCCATCCATAGCTTTTTATGTTTAATTAAAATTAACAAAAAATCATCATCCATTCCTCTCTTTGTTTTTGTTGTTTTGCCATGGGGTCTCACTATGTAGTCCAAGCTGGCCTCGAACTTGCTAGGTAGCCGAGGCTGGCCTCAAACTCAAGATCTTCCTGCCTCAGCCTCCTGAATTCTGGGATCACAGGCGTATACCACCATACCTGGCTTTTCTGGTCTTTACTTGTTTTAGCATTTCACATGCTCAGGAACCACTGGTCGTTACTACATAGGATGGAGAAGATACAGGATATTTCCATCATGCAGAATAGTCCCCTGGAGGGGCCGGAGATTTAGCTCAGCGATTCGGTGGCCTGTCTTGCGAGTGCAAGGACCTGAGTTCAATCCCCGGTACCAAAAAAAAAAAAAAAAAAAAGAATAGTCCCCCGGACAGCATTAGGCCTGCAGCCCCGTGAGAGTCTGAGCATCCTGTCTTGGATGCTTTGCTTCCTTTGTTCCTTTGAGCCACTGACTGAGCCCTAGAGTCCTGTCCTGTCCCCAGATCTATTGGGAGCAGTGGCCAGTAACAGTCCACTGTGGCGGGTCACATGGAGGGAGGGAAAGTCCGGGCATCGATCTCATCACTATTCACAGGTGGCTCAGAGAGGGCAAGTACCCTCCCCAGGCCACACAGCTGGGCAGTAAGTGGTCCGAGCTCAGAGTGGCAGCGTGGATGAACTCATGGCATGGAGCCTGGAGAGGGAGAGGTGGCCCCCTGCTGCCTAGCTAGGCCACCTCGACAGTTCAGGGCTCCTCTCAGAGCCACACGTTCCACATCTGCAAATCGAGGATCAGACCCAGAGAGATAAAGGCTGTTGCCTTCTGCCTGCCTTCTCCTTTCCTGTCCAGGAGCAGGGAGGAGCAGGCCCAGCTTGTCAGAGTCCCAGCTGCTGGAGCGGAGGAGGCCTGTCACCCACCGGGTGCTGGCACACAGCTGGCCCACGGAGAGCAGACCCTGTCTCCACCCTCCCGGTACTCGGGGCTGCAGGAGAGAGTTTGCATCACCTCGGCCCTCAGAGCTGGTAGGGCCGGGACTGGGCCTGGGCTCCTGATAACATTTTGGCCCAGAATTATATAAGGCTGGAAGTTTCTATTTTCTGTTCTATTCTTCTTCCTGATCTAATTGTGCATCTGCGGCAATGTTTATACACTTCCCAGGTTCAGGACAACTCGGTTGCCGCAGCAACCGGTGCGTGCCAACGCTATAATTTAGAGATCAACAGCTCCGGGGGGCCTGCCTCTTCCCAGAGACTCGGAGTCCCAGCCCCCTCGGCCGCCCCACCCGACCACTGCTCCTTCTCCCTTCCCCATCCGGATGGATCATGAGCTCCCTGGGCCCCACAGTGCCAGACTGGCCTTGTGACTTGGGCAAGTCAGTGAGCCCTGTGAGCCTCAGTTTCCTCATCCAGAGAATGGAACCGATGGCCCAGCAGCCTGAAGCCCCAGTGGGTCCTTCGGATGTGGCCCTACGGCAGTCCTGGCTCTCTGCAGGTCCTAACTTGTTGTTGTGTATGCTTTGTGTGCTGGGGATAAAACTCAGCGCGTCATGCGTGCTAGGCAAGTGTTCTGCCACTGAGCCACGCCTGGGCCCTGAGGATCCTGGGCCCACACCCTCTCTGCCACCTCCCTGAGTCCCACAGCTGGGGCTCCAAGTGGTGCCCTGAGGCGACTGGAGGCTGGAGGCTGTCGTGCCTTCTGGTCAAACCCGAGTGTCAAGGGACGTCTCCCATCGTTAATTCCCCTCCGCGTCCCACCCACAACTGAAGAGCGCAAAGTCACCAGGTTCAAGACCGTTGTTCCACATCTGAGGTCCGTCGGATGTCTGGGGAGAGACGGACTCCACTGAGTCCTGTCCCCATGCCCCATGCTCTGGAAGGGAGCCTTGGGCTCACCCATTTCCTCCCCGGAGTGGGTGGGAGGCCAGGGAAGAGGGGCCCTGGGCCCTGGACCACTGTCCGCACGTCTGCAGCAGAGGGGGACAGAGAGACCAGGTCCAAAGCCAAGACCAGGGTGCTGGGCCCAGCTCTCTGCCTGACAAGACCGGCTGATACCAAGCAGCTTAGCTGGCACAGCAGACAGGGCTCTTTGTGGCTTCTAGGGGGCCCTAGGGGAGAGGGCTGAGGAGCCCCCTGGCACTGCCCACTACTTCCTGAGCCCGGGCCACAGAGACTCACTCTGATGTGGCTCCTAATCCTGCCCTGCCCTTCTGTCCTTAAGGAAAGGCTCACACAGGGCTTCCTGGAGGAGGCACAGAGGCCCAAGGGAAGGTACAAAAAGAAGAGGCACAGAGAGCAAAGGGCACATGAGGCACTATCTCAGTGCCATCCTCCTCTGAATACGGAGACTTGATGTTTTAACACCATGTTGGGCTGGGGTGCGGCTCTGTCTTTAGCACCGATGGGGGCATAAAAAGCCCTGGCTGTGCAGGTGGCCATGATCTTCCTACCTTTACACTTCCTGGAAGACAGTGTCCGGCTTCATCTGCTAGCTTGGAATGGAATGGAGAGACCAGGCTCAGGGAGGGAGGGGGCTCTGCACCGCCCTGTGGCCCAAACTCCCACAAGTCCCTCCCCTTCTGGGCTAGCAACTTTCCACCCTCCCGCCTCAGCCTCCTACAGTGCTGGAATGAGTGTTGCTACCACACCTGGCTGTCTAGTGACCGTCCTGACTTTAAGGCTGTTTCAGAGGCAAAGGTTCTGGGGAGTGAGGGGCCAGGAGGTGCTGGCTGCTTTGTAAACTGAATGTCCTTCCATGCCAGATGCAGAAGTAACAATGCCACGCTGGCTGCCAGACTTAATTTTTCTCCTCTTTTACACACGGCAAACATCTGAAATGTGGGAGCCCCAAGTCAGGGCTTCCCTGGGCAAGTAGAGAAACCGAGGCTCAGAGTAGGACCACGCACAATGTCCGAGGTGGCATAGGGAGCCAGCAGCTGCCAAAGTGATCTCCAGCCTCAGAGGGGACAGGAAGGTGACCCACAGGGCTGTCACTGTGGGCACCATCACTGAGCTGCCCCCCAGTTAGGGAGGACAAGGGGGAGTCCAGAGGAGGCAGGACCCTAGCTCCTGTCATCTCCTGAGTTTTCCCAAGGACTGTAACACCAAATGTCCCGTCTGTTCACAACTCCCGCTGGGAAACAAAAGCCCGCACCCGGCAGCGGCCCCTCCCTCTGCTGTCACACTCACAGACACACTCTGAGGTGACCACGAGGTGACCGACCCCTCTGAAAGCAGTGCCTTTCCCAGCAGGACGGAGAGGGAGCCCACACTCGGGGAATGGTGGCCAGTGCCAGCCTGCTGGAGCCTTCTGAGTCACTGTGATCAGATAGGGGAGGTAGGGGAGGGGACGTGACTTGCCCAAGATCACACAGCTCAGCCCTGGGCCCGGCAGACGCAGTCATCTGTTGTCTGAGGTGTGGCTCCATGCCAGGCAAAGCATGGTAAGTATTTATTAAACACCCCGCATAGCCACAGGTGGGGCAAATATCGCTTTTCCCCAGCTGAGGGATTGCTGGCTGCAGCTGGGGGGGTGTTGAGTACAGGGGTCACAAAGCAGTGGCAGATGCAGTGACACACACCTGTAAGACCAGCTATTTAGGAGGCTGAGGCAGGAGGATCCTAAGTCTGAGGTCAGCCTGGGCTACTGAGACCATGTCTCAAAATAAAATTTGGAAAGGGGCTGGGGATGTGGCTCAGTGGCTGAGTGTTTGCCTAGCACATGTGAGGCCCTGGGTTCTCCACCTGGTATGGCAAAAGGAAAAAAAGGGGCAAAGTGGGCCTTACTCAGGTCTGGCTGGCTCCAGTGCCAGCTCACCCTAGTCCCCAGCCTGAGTGCTGCTCTCCCTGGTCCCCTCTGGCCTGCCCATCCCTCCCCCCACAGAACCGCCCAGGTTCTCTGTCTTCCGTCTACACTGTGGTGCCAGCCGGGCTTGCTCTGAGCCCCCTGCCTCTCGCTGCCCCTGCACCACTCAGCTTCTGGTGGTTTCTACAAAATGCAGTGGTTACAGCCTTGCGCTCGGGGGGGCAGCAGGAGCTGAGCCAGCCTCAGCTCGAGCGCAGCCTCTCTGGGCCTCAGTTTCCCCACCTACGCATGGTGATAACAGCGCTGACCACGGAAGGCTGTCACCAGGGTGCAGAGGAAAATGTTCTGAGCCCCATGGGCCCCACTCTTCCTCACGCCTGGTCCTCTGCAGGGACCCAGCGCCCAGCAGCCGAGCTGTGCCCCTCGCGGAGAAAGGGGAGGCGAGGCCAGTGGATCATAGGGGAAACCGTCCGCCCTGCTCCTCAGACCCGGGAGGTCTGGCTCCCTCCTCTCTGGGAATCCGGGGTGCCCACATCTCCCCGCTCTGAATGTACAGTTTCAGCTTCGGAGCCACCTTCCTCCTACGTGACCTTCAGTGAGCTACTTCACCTCTCTGGTCCCTGCACGCCTCATCTCTGGTAACGCTGAAAGCAGAGCGGGCCGCACTGGAGCACGATGAGGACAAATGGGACCCTACACACCCGTGCCCAGCGCAGACCGAATGACCGATGAGGGCCCCAGACCCCAGTGGTCCTGCCTGTGT